GAATAAGCACTTGGCCTGCATTCAATCCCGGGTTTCACACAAAAAAAATAATAGTAATAAAAAAATAAAAATAAAAATTTTCTAGAGTCCTAGAAAGAGCAGAACGTATGTGGTAAACCAATCTGATGAAATATTGATTGCAAATTCTGGGTGGGAGACATATGAAGTGGTCACTGTTAATTATTCTTTCAATTGAAGCAATTCATAATAAAATTCTAAGGAGTTGGGAATAAATGCACTAAGCTTAGGAAAGCAGCCCTAAGCACATTCTAGTGGGCATTCTACACCCACAGTGCCTTCCATGGACTGCAAGGGCAAATGGAGCATGACTGAACCTGGAATCCACTCCCAGCACAGAGTGGCAAGATTTGATTGAATGAAAGTATATTTTCCCCCTAACCAATCCTTTTTTATATTTACGTTTGATATCAACACCAGGACTTCTACAGCACATAATGTTGTCTTCATAAACTGGAGGCCAATTTTTGCCCCTAAATACTTGGTATAGCCTGTCTTTCCAGAGACCATAATTAAGATTCTAAATAGGTTACTAAAATCACATCATATATGCAGCACGCAGTAAAAAATATGCAATATGATATACAATAAGTTTACCAAAACATGCAGCAATAATATGTTATTTAAAATTTAGTTTATTTATCTATTTTCAAACTACTTATTATTTTATTGAGACCAATTCAAATCAGTTCAGAAACTATTTAAATCTTTATTTGATTATTTAATAGCATTAACACATGATATTTGATGTATTCACTATTTTCTTGTTTACATTATAGTTTTATGGTATGTTCAAGTAAGTTTGCTCTTGTAAAGAAATTACAGTGTTTGCTACTGGGTTTGCCAGAATACCTATTAACAAATATACCTGATAAGGAAAAAAAGAAAAAATACTAACACGAACTTTTAACAATACCTCGACGTCCATCAAATGCTGACTTTCTTTATACCAAAACTAATTTCAAATTTATTGGCAAAACAATAGTGATTTAAGTGATTTAAGTGACTGAGGTATATAGA